GTCATCGCGACGCAAAATTAAGGAAACACAACTACCCGAGACAGCCGCAACACGTTAAAAAATCACACCTGCGACAGCCGCAACACGTTACATAACGTCCGCAGCATCTATAACCGCGACACCGCAACCACTATTTTTATACTATGGTTGAGCTTGTTAGAAGTCTCATTCATATTTTTCTTAGATTTTATTTCAAAATCATACATTTTATTTCACGTAGGTCTTGGTACATGTTAGTAACCTTATGCTGCACCTATTTGATTAGTAAAAGAAGATGATGAATCTTCAAAGGTAAAAGGAAAGGAGAAGGTGGTGGAAAGCTAGGTCAAGAAGCTTCTTTGTATTCTTCTATTAAGGTGGTACCCTCTAACTCTTCTATATGATGTTTGTGATGATAACGCATGCATGTAGCATGTCTTTGGATGAAAAGCATGTTGGAAAGTTTTAAATGAAGCTAAACATTTTGTTGTGAAATCTGTTCAGAGAAATTTTTTGAACGTACAGTAACTATAAATTTTTTATTAAATTCTATAAAAATAATTAGGAAATTATCTTTATATGATTATAACATAGATTCAGTTTAGTTTAGTTTAAAACAAACAACTACTGATTTCGATATGTATATGAAAAGATTTGAATTTTTAAGTGATAAAAGGTCAAAAATCTGGGTACGTAGCAGAATCCTTAGAAAACAGTTTTTAGCAGTGACTTTGAAAAATCACTAAAAACTCCATAGTAAATATTAGGAAGTGAACCTTGTATACTTATAACTGTATGTGAGTCTAGTTTTGTTTAAAGAAAACGGTTCTTGATTTTGAACTATATTTTTAGAGTTATAAATTTTTGAGTGAACAAAGGTCAGAAGAGAAGGTACTATACTGTTTCGAGAAACATCAGGGATAGTGACTTCAAAAATTCACCACAAATAGTATAATTTAAATTAGAAGCTTTAATTTACATGGTTGGAAAGATTAGTGGGCCTAGTTTTTTATAAAACAAACGGAACATGATTTGGATTCGTAGATTATTAATTTCACATTTTTCTTTACAGGTAGTGTGAGCTGCTATACTTGAATGATTAATATTTTAGTCATGATTTATGATTTTGTAAAGCTTAAATGATCAAAATATAGTCGATCATAATATACCTTGCAAATTTGGAATAATCCTATGACTTTGAAGGCCATGTGTTGTACTTGAGATTAGTTGTTTGATGCTTTGTTTGCGCGCAACCTTCGGGCTCTAACCTAACTAGCGGCCATGTGTGGTGCTCGGGAAAATAGTTCGAACAACCTCGAATTATTTGATTAGCGGACATGAGTGGCGCAGGATTATATGGATACACGATTATTTGAGCACATGTGCATCTTAACAAATTTGACAAGCTTGACCAATTTGACAAGTTTGATATGCAAGTGATATGTTTATGAAATTTTTAACGTCATGCGAGTTATTTGTTCATTACTCATGCCATGCTTGTACATATACATTTGAATTTCATGCTCATATTTGTGAATTTCTTAAAGTATAGTAGATTAGTTGTGTACCACTGAGCTTGTAAAGCTCAACGTTCGAATTATTTATATTTTCATATTAGCAAGACTTTTGTTCGTGTCTAAGGAGCATCATCAACAAGGGACTTCCAGCATCTCGAAGTCAGAGTATAGTACGTTATAGTTGTTAGTGGGCATTGTATTCATAGGGCCTCACTTGTATTTTGAGTTCTATTACTCGTTTATTATTTTGGGATATTTGACTATTTTGGTGTATGTATATACTTATGATGGAGCTCCACATGTTTTTTTTTCGTATAACCATTGTTAGTACTTTTTTAATATATCTATTTGATGATAATTCTCTTATATAAAAATGTGTTTTAAAATTTTAGACATTTGTTGGGTTACTTTGGTGACTCGAATGTAACATCTTGGTCGTCGGGTATATTATATTCGAGACTAGAGCATTATAGGTATGTCATCTCTTACACAAATGATAGACAATTAAAAGACATTACATCTACTGGACAGTTAGTAAAGTAAACATATTTTCACAAGGGAAGGTTCAAATGGGGATTCCTACCTATCCTATGAAAATATCGAACGTAGAATCTATCACCACATCGAGTCGTTATTTATGGTAATAGAGAAAGACAAGATTGTGTATGATTGATCATTATGGTTGTGTTTACTGTTGTAATCATTTGTTGTTGTATCCAAGAAGACCGACGTCCAACATTACTCAAAGAATCGAGGAGAGAATGAATATGTCTTAATAAAACTGTTCATACATATCTCAACAAAACTTTATCTTTTGTTTATCTGACTCCACTCATCCAAGTTCATGTCTAAATATAAGTAAACCAAATCACATTCCTCTATTTTTCATTTTATATTATTTTACTTCGTTCATTCAATAATAATATATGTTTATTATTATTATTATTATTTATTGGATTAACATTTTGTCTAACGTCCCTAACTTAATTATCTAAGATTTTAAACAATTTGTTACCTTTGTTGATTATTCTTGAATGACTTGACTTTTATTAATGAAAAATTATTCCAAGTTGTTTCTTCAGTTCTCTCTCTTGTTGCCAAAATTGAGACCATTTTGATAAACATGTTCAAAATTTAAGGAATGATAATGTCAAATAATATCTTTTATTCCCTGAGGATATGGGTTAAGAAATTGTTGTTATTTCTTAAGGATCCAGGTTCGAGTACCTTAGATGTCAGGAGTGTGAGCGTTTAATGTTAAAAGATTAAATTATTTTTAAACATATAATATATTGTACTTATCCCAGATTAATAATAAAAAATGAACAATAATGTCAAATAATATCTTTTAGAACTTTTTCAGAGATACATGAGAATTAGCCATAAATTTCTTGTGTTGACCCTTCCCAAAATGAGATTATTGAGAAAAAATAGACATCGTTTTGAAATTTCACATGTAAGTTCCTAAATTATTTTTATTACAAATAAAATATTTTGTTGTACTTGTTTTGTTCAGGATGTTTGTCCTAAAATTACAAAGTTTGATCTTATGTTCTTAAAGTTTATTTTTGGGTATTCTCGTGTTTAAAATAGGCATCATTTTTATTGTCTAAGTCTTGGTAAATATCTTGTGTCCATTAATGTTACCTTTTTGGGGGTATTCTCGTGTTTAGAAAGAGGAAGAATAATTTGTTACTTTATCATGTGTAGGGGTGTAAATGAAAGGTTATATCCATATTCGTTTGTTTATTTTTTAAAGGTGTTAATGTTAGGTTTGTTTTCGTTTAAATTTTTAATATCATGTTCGTATTTATTTATTTATTTATTTATTTTTGAATGTTTTTTTATTGTTCGCAAACATGTTTGTTTAATATTTGTGAATGTGTTCCTTTATATGTTCACGAACATGTTTATTTAGCATTCATGAACATGTTTATTTAGCGTTCATGAATATGTTTATTTAGCGTTCACGAACATGTTCGTTTAATATCTTTTAGTGTTCGTTTATCGTTTATTTATATGTTCAATTTAGATTTACCATTTCATCTTCCAGCTAAAGAAAATGGTAAAATTATGTCACTAGTGTATAAACTCCTAAAAATTTACAGTTTAAATTTCAACTTTTACCATGTATTCAGTTTAGTCCATACATTTATCAATATTTAAAATGTAAAAAATAAAAGGAAAAGGAGAAACATGTAAATGAGTTTGCTCATGAACATAAATAAACGAGTTTGATCGTGAATATAAACGAACAGAACATAACTCTGTTCGTGTTAATTCGTTTATTAAATAAATTTTTGTTGTTCGTACTCATGTATTTAGCTTAACCAATGAATATAAACGAATGTTATAAAAAAAATTACGAGTAGTTCACCAAACGCTCTATTCATTTACACCCCTAATCAGGTTCTCTCAAAATTAGGGCCAACATCCTCTGCATCGATTAAGCATCCCACAAATTCACCTTTTTTATCGCCCACATCTATATAGTTTTTAAATTCTGGAAACATGTCCTGCTGAGCATCCTTTTATAAAATTCATACTTTCTCATAACACGTCCTGATATTGATTATTTGAAAGGTTTGTTGAGCCATCATTATATATAATCAATAATTGTTTGTAAGAAAGTAGAACAAGTCTTGCTTTATTTGAAAATGCTTCGGGACGTGAAATTCTATATAACAATTATGCTCATATTAAGATCAAATATTTTTCAAATTCAGATTGATCAGGATGTAAGAAAGATAAAAGATATACTTCAAGATATTGTGCGTTTGGTCGAGGAAATTTGATTTTATAAAAAAAGTAAGAAGCAAAATGTGGTCTCACGATTCAATGTAGAAGCACTAAATGAAATAGGAAATAAGATCTTAGTACTTGTAAAGCTTTGGTGTGATTTACATTATTTTCAATCAAGCCTTTCATGAACAAGTAAAATATATTGAGGTTGATTGTGATTTCATTCGTGAAAAAATCCAATAGAATTTGGTTACTATTAGCTATGTGAAAACTTGAGAATAACTAGGAGACATTTTCACAAAGTCTCTTAACAGGGTTTGAATCGGTTATCTACGTAACAAGTTGGACATGACTAATATGTATGTTCCAACTTAAGGGTATTATAGATTTGTAATTAAATAATATAGATTGATATATATTGTTTTTAATATAAAATATTACGTAATGAATATAGGATATTACTTTACGTATTGTAAGATCGTTGTATTTGTATATATACCCATAATGTAGATGAATAAATAAATAAATAAATAAGCATCATTAGTCTCTCTTAATTTTTTTCTTTTCTTTTTGATAAACTCTTTTACAGCTTTTAAACATCTGATATCTGCGTAAGGGAGGGATGAATTGAGGATCTGATTTCTGAACTAATCGTTTCCGTCTCTTCTTGCTCTATTGGATGGTTACAGCTTCCAACATATAAGCGGTCAAATACTCTGAAAACAAAGCTTCATTATGCGATCAATTCTAATGCAGGATTCGAACTAAATAAGACCAAGTAATATCCAATATCCTACATATGAGAAGATTACATGAATGGGTGATAGTGTTTTCTTTTCTTTTTCTTTTATTTATTTATTCCCTTTCTTCGATCATGAAGGAAATAAGTTCAAGAGATGAGTCCCACACCCTGTGCTAGCAAATTGCCTGCTAAGAACTCGTTGGCTGCTTCAGAGGGATGGAATCCATCCCAAAATACATACGAGGTCGCATTGGAGCAAGTCCCTAAGGCCCTGGCATTGCAAAGCAACGATGTCTCTAGTATACCCGTTCCACAGCAAGCTCTTCTTGACTCAAAGAAACCTGCAACAACGAAATGCACAGGGGAAAAGTATATTATTGAATCATGCATGGTAGAGCCTTGAATAAAACAATGACATCTGTTCACTAATACAGAATGTTGATTTATTCTGTTGATTAACTACTCTTTTGATTTACCATTATCACTGGGCTTTGTAACCATGTCCAAGAGAGGCTGGTATATGTCGAAGACAACAAGTTTGAGACCAGGCAGCTTGTCTTGTAGACCTAGAGATGTGCTGTTCAGTTTGTTGTTGAAGGCTATGGCATCTTGGTTTAACCTTGCAACACACTGGTTACTTCCTCCACCGAAAAGGGTGATCGCCGCGGGTAAACAACCCGTCGGCGGTAAGGTTGTCACTCCAATCCTCTTTGCTCCCAGTGTATACAGATTCTATTTCAAACATAAAACAGGTATCAATTTCTCAAGTAAATGGTCTAAATATTGCTGAAGATATCAAAATAGCCCCTGTAAGTGAAAGCTAAATGGTACCTGAATGAAAGTAGAGTAGGATCTAATGAGAATGTCAGAGAATTGATCCGGTGTATAGAAACTATTGAGTAGAGGATTGATGTAGTAGTTTTGAATATAATCACTGCTTCCTGCACTCAAAAGATGTATGGCACCAGAGAATATGTCAGTCGCTGTAGCTTTCCCTACCATGTTCACCACTTTTGTTTGGAACTCCTTGTAGTAGTTTAACTGGTGAGTCAATGTTATGGCACCCTACAAAAAATCAACAAAACAGTTCATCTTGTTAGCTGATCAGGCTTCATAGCCAAGAGTCTAGGAATTTAAATAGTTGTAAAGCTTCCGTCTGAAACAGTTATTGCACAACTGTGATATCTGCAATAGCATCAACAATTGCTGCAATCACGATAAATGCAACCGCAATTTAAATCCCTGGTCTGGACCATTGAGAAAGAGAGGGGGTTGATGGTTGGGATCTTAATCATTTACATATAGGTTTGCAGTTCTGTCATATAAACCAGAAGCAGCCGAAGCAAAGTTGGCTCCAGTCAAGAGCGCATTTCCTCTGGCATCTTGACTGAGGTAAGCCGGTGGGTATGAAGTGAACCCAAGGTACTCAGCTGTGCATGAATGAGTGGATAAATTCCATCAGTGAAAGAGCCTAAATGAGTGGGGAAGAACAAGTATGGGTTCTTACCAGTGAAGTCTATGGCTAGTTTTCCATTGCAGAATCTTCCGGTTGGCCTGTGAGTAACAAAATCTCTTCCATAGGGCGGAAAGTTGGCCTTGATTAGTGTAATGAGATTGTTGTTGTTACCAACATCAACAACCGAGTCTCCAAAGATGATTAATGCAGGAACAAGAGGGTCTCCATTAGCCACTGGTGAAACCAGAACAAGGACCAAGGTACCCAAAAACTCTCTTGAAACTCTCATTTTTCTTTCTCAAGTGAACGGGGGGTGAAAGAGGGAGCAGGTGAAGAAGAATTTAAGGAGAAAGAGCCATGGATGAGAGTTATGGTCAAACTGATACAAATGTCTTTAAGAGAATGGTGCCATTTAAGGTGCTTATTTTTAGGAGAAGAGGCATGCTTAGCATTCCATAAACCCATCATTTCTGGCATTAGCTTTACTGAACAAAGTGCAATCATTTTGTCCATGTTCTAATCATCGAGTGACAACGGAATTAGTGAAAGTGTTGAGTGCTCTTCTCTCTTTTTTCTTTTTGAAAGAATTTGGTTTCCGTTTGACGCGCATCCTCATCAAAGGAGTGGCGTGTCTTCAATTTTTGTTATACAAGCTTGGTCACATCAGCCATCCCTAGCATATTTTGAACCTCTTTATTCTCTTGAAATATCCACTAGTTACCAATCATCTTGCTTCATCTCTTTATTTTTTCATCTGGTTTTTCTATCTTACACTTCTATATGTAGTATATCCGGGGACTTAAGACCCTAGGTTCGGATGTACTGAGCGTTAAGGAGAATAACTGCGTACCATTATTTTTATTATTTTATAAAAACTTAATATAAAAATAAGTGTTTAAACTATGTTTAAAATTAACTTTCGACATTTAAAGATTTTTTTTTGTAAAAAATTATATATATAATTTTTTTTCCGTTACACTTTCATGTGTCAACCGTTAAAAAAATACTAAGTGACACATGCCACATTTATATATATTTTTTATTTTTCTAAAATAAAATATTATTTAAAAATGTCCTTTTAGAAAAAATCTAAATGTGACACGTCACTTAACATGTTTTTTAGAAGTAAGTATTTAAAAGTGTAACAAAGAACATATTACTAACTTATTTTTAATAAAAAAAATTTAGGCACCAAAATTAATTTTTAAGTATAATTTAACACTTACTTTTATACTAAGCCTTTTATAAAAATAAACATTGATAAATTTTGGATTAGTGTGTTAAGGGGAAGAGAATAAATTAAGGAAATTTGAATATTTGATCTTTTAGGGAAAGAAAAACTTTTATAATTTTGGATTCTATTTTTTGAATTTTTTAGATGGGTTTCTAAAAAAACGAGTACGTGTATTGGTCTGTCATTTCTCAAAAATCCGAGTTGGTTTGAATACAAAAGAAAATGATGATTTTGTTAAACTATATTAAGTTGGATTACATCTTAATTATATCTTTCTCCTTTCATCCATTTTGTAATGTCAAAATTTGGTCTGAAAAGCTAAATCTTTCTTAGCATTTAAAGCATGCTTTAATTAATATAGAATATTAGCATAAACCCTGAACCTTAAACCGACCCCTCGGGGTTACTGTTTTCCCAGATGATGAGGTCATTTCACTAGGCTTCTTTGATGTACTTAAAAACGACACGTACAATGCACTGTTGATTTCTTTTAAAGGAAGTGGGGTTGGTGAGTTGGATCTCATTAGCTACCAAAAAGGGAGTTAAAGTGGTGTTAGAGTTCACATTCCAGATGTCCAAATTAATGTTGAGTGAGAGAACTCAATATTATCTTATAAATTCGTAAATTCATATATTCATATAAAAGTTTAAAAAATATAATTTATTTAGTCTTTTTTGTCTACCTATGATTTTACACAACTTACATATAACCATAAAAATATATCAATTTAATTTTATAATAAATTCACATAATATAAAAATTTAATCAACAAATCTTAAAATTATATTTATATTATCCCTTATTGAAAATTTCTAAACTTTGATCATGATTATTTTAAATAATTTAAATAATTAAAACCTCTATGTTAGGGTTTTTCTCTACTTTTGGCAGCCGTCTCTCGGGCATGTTGGCACGTTTCTGAATTTTCTAGCTTTGCTAGTGTGATCGTTGTCGGTTATGTGTGTTATTTGCTTTCATCTTTTCTCATGGGTGATTTGGAACAGAAGTTGGAAGGCATAATATAGGAAAAGATGAGGATGAATCGTTGGTCTTGGAACAGACAAATGAAGTGGTCCGATTTCCTTTGATAATTGTTTCGTCGGCCGGTTTATCCACGGTAGTGTCGACAGTCCTTTTCGTCCCGTATTATATATATATATATTATTATTATTATTTACAAAATTCGAAGGCCCAAATATGAAAAAAAAACCCGGAGCCCATTTACAGTAGACCCGATCCAGGCCTATGAACAGATAACACATCAGCTAGGGTTTCACATATAATCTCAGCCGTCAGCATCCACCACCGTCAGATCTGGAGAGATCCAACGGTCTACAGAAGATCCAGCAGAAACCCTAGGGTCTATTCCGGCGCCACCTCCAATTGCTTCGTCGCCATGTCCCTCCAACTAGCAAATGACACGCCACTACCGCCGCAATGAAGATTCTAGAAGAGACGAGGACGGTCAAACCTCATCGAAGCTAAGGTGAGTCACCATCGTAGATCTGGTGACTCACCGAACGAATAACGTTTCGAGGGCTATAAAAAGCCTCGATCCCCTGCAGAGAAAAAGGAGGAGACACGGAGAGCAAGCAACCAACAAAGAAAGCTACGAAAAAAAATTTAAAAGCAAGGAAACAAAAGGGAGAAGAAACCTACCTTTGTCGAAGCTCAAACGTCGTCGGAAACCATTTTTTCCGAAGGTAAAATCTTAGATCTAGGCTGATTGAAAGGCTTTTAGGAAAAAGGAGGGTGGTTTTGGGTTTAGGGTGTTTCAATCTACGATTTGGTGTATTTTTTTTCGGCCGTGAATAGTGACTGGAATAGTGACCGACATAGGTGAATAGTGATTGGCGGTGACCGGAATAGTGACTGGCTGGTGATCGGAGCTCCTTCCGGGAAGGGAATTTAGAGAGAAGAGAGAGCTTCTCTCTCATTACAGAAAGAAGCAAAAGATGAAAATGGGCATTTAAAGCCTATTTATATCATCCTCAAAACCACGTTGTTTTCACATTTTACTTTATTTTATTTTAGTCCCTGCCTGTATATTTACATATATATATATAGGGTAAATAGTATTTTTAGTCTCTAATATTTTAATTATTTATATTAATCCCTAGTAATCATTTAGGGTTAAATTACACTAATAATACCTAGATTTCATGATATTTAGAATTAGATTTTTAATTTCGATATTTTACAATTTTAATCTTTAGTTTTAAAATAATAATTTTAAATATTTTTTTAGAATTATTTACTATTATAGTACTTTGCATATTAAGTATTTATTAATAGTAACCTAAAATTTTAGTATTTTCATATTTTAATCATTAAAATTATTATATGTAATATGGTTATTTTATTTTATACAATAAATCATAAAATATTTCCTTAACTGATTAAGAAAGTATTTTAAATGATTTGTTGGTATAAAATAATATCTTTAATTTTTTATGGGATTATAAATTGAAATTAAATACAAATTTGTTAATTTATTGCGAGGACATTAATTAATAAACCAGGGTACCAATTTTGGGCATTGTGGGAGTGCTAATCCTTCCCCACACGTAATCGGCTCCCGAACTCATTTTCTGGTAAGCATACCCTTTTTTGTGTTATTTTAATAATATTTTTATAAATTTTATTAAAATAACATAGCATTTTTGGTGACCAATCACACCTCGATAAATGATTGGTGGTGACTCCTCAAAATTTTGTTTTATCTTATACCAGAAGAAAACTCTTACTTTTTCGAGACGAGATTTAGAAAATAACGACACTTGTTTTCGCCGGGTAAATACCGTCTCGACAGCTTGGCGACTCCGCTGGGGAACATTTTTTAGAGAGTCAAGCCACTAGTTTATTAATTAATTATCTTTGCGATAAAATTAAATTTGTTTTAATTTAGTTTTTGATCCCTTGATTATTTTAATAACCATTTTGGTATAAATAGTTGTACTAACTTGTTTGTTAATGTTTTCAGATTAATTATGTCTTTATTGGAATTGAGGAATAAATTTTGTGATTATGTTTCTCTTTCTTATTTTCCTCACACACTGTGCACTGCATTATCATGACATGAGCTAAAACCCCGCTCTATACCATTTAGCTTGAATGAGAAACTACTCCCTCGTGTGGTTTTTACCTCCGTATGGGATAGGAGACCATTCCTTGAGCTCATACCCTATGTTCCTCGTGTGGTTTTCACCTCCGTATGGACATAAGCAAGTGTGTTCCTTCGAATTGAACTCAATCCGAAAGTCTGTGATGGACCAGGATTGAGGGCTTGGTAGTCCAAGGGGGCACCAACAAGGACAATTCGATGACCCTTTTTACCTAAGATCCAAGCCCAACATATAGTCAACCTAGAACTCTAATCTTGGAAATCCCTTGAAGAGAATACATAAGGAAAAGTTCTTTATGAGAATTTGCGGTTAGGCTTACTTCTCCAAACAAGCAAGTGAAAGATATAAGACCTAATCGACTAGTAATGCAGAGCATGGAAAATGTTAGACAGTATGCCCAGAGATGGAAGGACATAGTTGTATAAGTACATCCGCCCATTGAAGAAAATGAGTCAATTATGTTTTTTTATGAATGGAAAACTTGGTAATGGTGAATCCAACAAGAAACCACCAAAGAAAATGAGGTTGGACATTTTACTCGAAGTAGAAGATGTTACTCTAAAAAATCTAAGAAACAGGCTACTATTGATAAAGGTAAAAAGATTGACCTGCAGCTGAGAAAAAATGAACCTGTAATCAACGAGCCAGTGATTCAGAATGAAGCTGAAGAATTTTTGAAGTTTCTCACATGTAGGGACTAATTAATCCAGTTTTTCCTATTACTAAGAAAGATCGATTTGGTTTGGGATATCAACCAGCTGTAAAGGAGAAACAGAGGGGCATTAGAAAGAATTAAGAAATGAGGAAGGCAAAGTTAGCTGGAGAAGATCTCATTTACCAATGAATTTTCCACCATTGTGTAATACTTTTTGTGTCTGGAGGACATATATTCCAAGAGGAGGGGCAAAACAAGGGACTGATAGTTGAGAATACTTTGAAAGAACTGAGTATCAATGTCATATCAAATGATCAATCTGAAGAAAAGAAAGTTATGGGTATTTACCCTGCACCATCAGACTTTGAATTGAATTAATTAGACTGTAGAAGAATTATATGTAGTTTTCAAGTTTTTTTTCATAGACCTCACATATCAATAACATAAATGTTGAT